ACACACACACCGTCACACACCAGATTCTGACCATAGCCTGTGTAAAACACTGGGCGTAGAGTGTGTGACGTCACCCGTAGTGTTTCTGACGAGCGTTTCTGAAGCCTAAAGTGGGCGGAGCCGGCCGTCGCCATCTTGGCAGCGTCACTCCCGGATAAACGAACATGTGCAGCGAGGCGATTAGCTGAGGAGACGTGACGCTAACACACAGCAGACAAACGGCTAGCAGTGACATCAGCGGCAATCCACCTGTCACTCAAGTGGCCACGCCCTTAATTATGCACAACTTTAAGGCTTAATATAATTTAAACGGATGAGTTATAAAAAAATTCACCCCCTCACAGTCGCCATGAAGAGCAAAACTAGCGATATAGACCAAATCCACTTAAAACAGCCTTAAAGTTGTGCATAATTCATTTACAATTCGTCAGAAACACTACGGGTGACGTCACACACACTAGCCCAGTGTTTTACCCAGGCAACAGTGACGTCACACACACTAGCCCAGTGTTTTACACAGGCAACAGTGACGTCACACACACTAGCCCAGTGTTTTACCCAGGCAACAGTGACGTCACACACACTAGCCCAGTGTTTTACACAGGCAACAGTGACGTCACACACACTACGCCCAACAGTTCTTTCTGGAACCCAGCAGAAATGAGTGTTTAGTCTCTGGTGGGCAGATAGTGAGAGCAGAAATAGCAGCGACGAGGAACAAGCTCGAATTAAGAACAAACACAGCTGTCAATCACGGAAAAATTAGGCCCCGCCTCCTGGAGAAGTGGGCGGGGCTACAGTCATCATTTACAAACCAAACTCAAGTGATTCTTATCATGTGATGCTTCAGTTCTGAAGGCAAAGCTTTCACACACACACGCTCATGTGATGTTCCCAGCTCAGAGCTAAAGCTGTGTAAGATAAGCTCTTGTTTTCTGCACACACACTTCCTGCAGAGTGATCTCAGCACACGCTGACTCCCGTTTCTGCTGATTCTGCACGTAGAATGTTTTGTCGGTACAAAAAGTGCATGTGTGCATCTTTCTCCACAATAAAGGACTCTTGATTTGATATTTTGCTGTCTAACGAATGACTGGATTCCGCCGCTCAGATTATGAACCAATCGCACGTCTTGTTGAAAGTGATGCGGTTCGCCTGATCCAATCAGAAGCTCGGTACTAATTCAGTGAGGAGATTGGCCGACAGCACAGACTCAGGTGACGCCGTAACACGACACCTGGTGACATCAGCGCTGAGGTGTGGTCATGTGACCGGCGTGTGTTTCTGACCGCTGTCCTTCAGCTTCAAGGTCTCAGTGTAGTCTGAAACGCCTCATGAATATTTAATTAGATGGCATTCCTGTCTCACTCTTTACAGTGCACTGGACAAGCTCACACACTACCAGTCAAAAGCAAGATTTTTAATGTTTTTAAAAGAAGTCTCTTCTGCTCACCGAGGCTGCGTTTACTTGATTAAAAATACAAAAAAAACAGTAAAATTGTGAAATATTATTCTAATGTAAATCATCTGTTTTCTATGTGAATATACAGTAAAGTGTAATTTATTCCTGTGATCAAAGCTGAATTTTCAGCATCATTACTCCAGTCTTCAGTGTCACATGATCCTTCAGAAATCACTCTAATATGAGGATCTGATGCTCAAGACACAGTTATGATTATTATCAGTGTTGAAAACTGTTATTTACACTTTTATTTCAGGATTCTTTGATGAATATAAAGTTCAAAAGAACAGCATTTATCTGAAATAGAAGCTTTTGTAACATTAAACACTAGCGTTCAAAAGTTTTGGGTCAGTAAGAATTTTTATTTAATTTTTTTGGGGGGAAGAAATAAAAGAAATCACTACTTCAATACAATGAATTCAGCAATTCAATTAATCAAAAGCGACAGTAAAGACATTTATAATGTTACAGAAGCTTCTATTTGAGATAAATGCTGTTCTTTTGAACTTTATATTCATCAAAGAATCCTGAAATAAAAGTGTAAATAACTGTTTTCAACACTGATAATAATCATAACTGTGTCTTGAGCATCAGATCCTCATATTAGAGTGATTTCTGAAGGATCATGTGACACTGAAGACTGGAGTAATGATGCTGAAAATTCAGCTTTGATCACAGGAATAAATTACACTTTACTGTATATTCACATAGAAAACAGATGATTTACATTAGAATAATATTTCACTGTTTTACTGTTTTTTTTAATCAAATAAACGCAGCCTCGGTGAGCAGAAGAGACTTCTTTTTAAAAAAAACATTAAAAATCTGTATATAGTGTGTGTGAAGCTGAGTGAGACCCGCATACACACATTCCTGTGAGTGGGTCAAAGGTCAGGCCGTGTTTAACGGGTTGAATGGGAGGAAGGACCCGCTGACTGTGTTCTCCAGGGCTTTGAAGGTCTTCGAGACGAGAAGTTCAAAAACAAGATCCAGTTCCCAGACTTCAGAGGAACAATAGCCGTCTCCACCTGTGCTTGATGTCGCAGGAACATCTGAGATATCATAACAGAAACGCACATAATGTACACACGTACACCGCACACTGGAGCCTGTAGAGCTCTTGATCATATTCATAATCATATCTGATGATCACATGACCAGCGTCTGATCCGGAGTTTACACTCGTTTATCAAGCTAAAGTCTTTTAGTTTAAACGTCCTTCAATCAGCACTGCAAGTAAACGTGGGAATAACTCTGATATTGTTAGTAATATTTCAGCCGGACTGAAGCTGGTTTATCGATTATCATTTATTATAAAAATCACGAGTATCAAATATGATCATCAGGCTTTTAAGGAAGGGTTATTAGTTCATCTCTCAATCATTATTGTATTGCATTGCATGTTTGAAAACTGGAAAATCATTTACTAAGACACATTATAGGCAGATATTGATATATGTTTTATGTAAGTATCTTCTGTACTGTTGTAAAGATCTCATTGATTCAAGCATTTTTGCATAAAATTGAACATTTTGGCTGATGCCGATAATTCTTCATAGAAGACGAAAATAATCCATTATTTATCAGCTTTAATATATCGGCCACATTTTCTTATTGGACTGATAACGATAATAACATTAAAAATGAACATGATACGCATCACCGCCGATACGGTCCCTAATATTCTCATGATGTAATATGTAAATATGATGCAAAACAAAACACATGCCATTTTTTCTTTTCTTTTGTCTGAAGGTTCAATAAACTGGCATTCAAACGAAAACTATGAGGTCACATGACAGGGTTGTTATTCAGGGTCATTATCGCGACCTTTGACCTTCTTCTGGAGAACACACTCCTCCCTGGTCCTGATGAACCCTTACACTGCATGTCTCAGGCTTACAGTGGAAAACATGTGTTAATAGTTGATATATATTCTACTATGATCTTGTTTTGAGGTGTTTTACAGGAAAAGGGCCAGATGTGTGTGTCAGGATCTGGTGTCTCACGGTGTGTGTGTGTGTTCAGAGATGATCTGGTATCTCGCAGTGTGTGTGTGTCAGTGTGTGTGTGTCAGTGTGTGTGTGTGTGTGTGTTTGTGTGTGTGTGTGGGTGTGTGTGTGTGTGTGTGTGTGTTCAGAGATGATCTGGTATCTCGCAGTGTGTGTGTGTCACTGTGTGTGTCAGTGTGTGTGTGTGTGTGTGTTTGTGTGTGTGTGTGTGTGTGTGTGTGTGTGTGTCAGTGTGTGTGTGTGTGTGTTTGTGTGTGTGTGTGGGTGTGTGTGTGTGTGTTCAGAGATGATCTGGTATCTCGCAGTGTGTGTGTGTCACTGTGTGTGTCAGTGTGTGTGTGTGTGTGTGTTTGTGTGTGTGTGTGTGTGTGTTCAGAGATGATCTGGTATCTCGCAGTGTGTGTGTGTCAGTGTGTGTGTGTGTGTGTGTGTGTGTGTGTTCAGAGATGATCTGGTATCTCACGGTGTGTGTGTGTGTGTGTTGTAAAGATAAACAAATGCCCGGGCGTCTCCGTCAGGACTCAGCGTGAGCCGTGGCTGCTGTGCTTCACTCTTCCCACCGCTAACACACACACACACACACACACACACACACACACACTTTAACTGGAATAACACTTTAACTGACATCTTATTTTTTTTACTTGTTGCCAATGCAATATTTCTCATTTTCATCTAGTTAAAGTAGAAGTACTACACTTTATTTTAAGGTGTCAGTGTTACAGTGTAATTATACATTAAGTACTGAGTAATATTAATTAACAACATGTGCTTACTATAAGGGTTTGGTTGAGGGTTAGTTGCATGTAATTATGCATAATTTACTGTTATTACTATAGTAAGTAGATGTAACACGGACCCTAAAATGAACCTAAAATCCCACAGCTCAACACACACACACACACAGTTTGAGACTCAGTGTGTTTCTGTCAGATAATGTAATAATATCAGATAACACTATATTACATTATTGCGAGGTCCAATGACTCCATTCGTGTCCTACTGTGAACATTATTAAATATGCACATCATAAACACACATCACGCACGCTGAGTATACAGGCACGTGACCCGCTGGAGTGACCCAGATGAGCCAAACCCGCTTACAGCATCAAAGCCGGATAAATATAGAACTCTCTTCACTTCTATTCTCTCTTCTCTCTATAGCGATGCGATTCACACCTGATGCAACCGCTCCATATTCATCATTCATCACATTAATCTGCAGTCCAGGCCTTATTAGCAGTGAATGTGTGTGTGTGCATCATCAGCACATGATCCACATCATCATTTGTTGATATTCTCGTTCAGCATCATTCTGATAAAGGGAGCGTCCCGGCAGCAGCAAACACATCATCATCATCATCATCATCATCATCATCATATCATATCATATCAGAAAGCCTGCTTACCTTCAGGTCCGGTTATCAGTGCTGTCTGTCTCTCTGACCTTCAGTCGCTGCTGCGGAAAGACGCTCCGCACGCGCGTTTGAAATGAATCAGTCGGCGGTGACGTCACTCGCGCTT